TTTTTTTTTTTTTTTTATTGGGGAAACAAACTTGGGAAAATCCGTTTGACGGCCCTATGGTCCCCCCCAAGGCTACCCTCCATGCATAGCCTGCCTGACCGTTAATCTAACCATGGAAGATCCGGGCTGCCAATTCGAGGTAGAATCTCTCCCTGGCCAGTGATTTGCTGGGGCTGGGGCTAGGGCTGGGGCTTGGGGCTGGGGCTGCCCCCCCCCCCCAATGAGCTGCCAGTCCCACCAATACAATACACATAGCCTTGCCACAACGCACGCTCTCCCTGCCACTCATTTTTCTCTCTCCTAGTAGATCTCCAGCCGTTGAGGACAGGGTTACGAAGAAGATACCTACCCTGAGAAGGTTTGGACTCCCATTCTGGCCGGTTATTCCAATGTTCTTTCGTTGCATCAATCATTCTGTAGGGGAAATCAGTAAACCCCGCCTGCTCATCTCGAGAGGAGCAAATTGTACGGATAACTGTACATTTAATATCAAATTTACACGTTCTCGGCAGATTGATGGATGAATTTTGTTCCCTGTAATATCCCAGCATCTACCCCATTATAAAGATATCCGTCTTTTCACCCCCGCTTTCCTGGGGAGCGGGAAAACTTAGCTGAATGGTCCCGGTCGGTTGGTTTGTGAATCCAGGAAATTCTCAAACTGGTTCCATCCTTCGCCACGACAGCTTTCCTTACTTTGCAACCTCTGACGAGAAAGGGACCAAATCATCTCATCCACCACCCCCCAGAAATTTGCCATTAGCTAGCTGATTATCTCTTCCAACATGCCCTGCGATCGATGGGCTACGATACATGCAATACGTTGATTACTATCTTGTCATGCATGGGTTTGGTGGAGTCCAACACCCCATGCGACGTGTTTAACCCCTCGCTGGCACATTGGCTTTGACAAACCCAATCCCAAGCCTGCAAAGTTGTGCAACTTGTGGGTCAGTGGCAATACTGGCCGATAACCAAGGGAATGCGAATGCAATTATTATTGTACATGGAATACAATTGCTTGATCTTCTACATTTACTTTTGGTTTCTTCCTTCAACAAAGGCGAGAAGAGAAGGCAAGTCTTCTTCCCTTTCCGGCGGGCAGTAAATCAAGCTTTGACACTCCCTTGATGTCCAGGTTAATAATCTGGGAATAAGGCCTGTGGTTTGGGAATCATTGTGCATTTGAGATGTTGTTCCCCCCTCAGCAGGCCACCATGAATCGGATTTTGTCACATTTATTCCTGATCAAAGCTTCTTATCAACCTTGGATCCACACTGACTTCACTCCTCTTGCTCTCTGCATTTGATTGATTTACTTATATTTGATAATGAATTTTCTTAATCTTTATATTAACATAGTGTTATTAGTAAATTGACTCTATTGAGATAGTTGATGGGTTATTTACAAAAGTCTGATTCTGCCAGTATGTGAACAGTGAAAAGTATGTGAACAGTGATCTCGAAAGATTTGGGATGTATGCAGACCACACATCTTTATATCAATCTGACCCGTCTTTATCCATATCCTTCAACCACATTCGTACGTTCGATACTTGAGAGCAGTCAGAGGTCAACTGAAGGCCTGTGTGCCTGTGCCTCTCAGACCTGAATCTCACCAACATCTCCCGCTTCCCTTCTCATCTCCATGGAGCAAACAACTCTTAAGGCGTAATTGATCCCTCTGTCACTGCGTTTTTCGAGACCATTATCATCTTCCCAGAAACCGCCGCCTCTCGGGAATTGCTATTGGCATTTCCACAAGCCAAGAATGAGCGTTTTTGACCCATTGCAGGGTTTCCCTTATTACCTTAGTTACCTGGTTAATTTAAACCCGGTGTAATCCTCACCCCAGAGTCCGGGCCCGCAAGTCCTCCCAGCCTAAATATCCCGCCAACTATCTTCAAAAGAAGCCTCTCAGCCCTATTCTTTATGAGAGGCGGGATATACATTCCACTGGAATTACCCCCCCCCCCCCCCTCCCCAAAACACACACACACAAACACACACACACCGCTGAGAGGGCGGGGTGATTTGACCAGGAAAACACGTCTCAATAAACAGCACGCAGGCGGTTATCGGCTCCACTCCTTCCCCATAGGGGCATAGAGACACCGAGCGGTTGAACGCTCCCGACTTCCTCCCCGGGATCGCAGGGCAGAGGAAATTGTAATACCTTTTCCAAATGGAAACAACACCGTTTTGCGTCCTTCGTGTGGGAAACGCCTAGATTAAAGCTTGTCTTCCCTCCAGGGATCGGTCGTTCAAAAATTCGGCGAACGAGCCCCACCCAACCCCCGGCTGACAATTCCCCTCAAGGGTTGAAATAAGTTTTCAACTAACCCACTTCTCGATTTCCCGTCTCCCCAGGTTAGAGAGGAGGCATTTCGAGCGACATGAGGTGATGTGTGACGGTAAGATGTCTGCCAATTTTCATTTTTTATTTATTTATTTATTTCGGACACGGAATTGAAAAAAAAAATAAAAATAAAAATAAAAATAAAAATAAAAATAAAAAATTGAAGATTCCATGCATGATAACTGCCTTTTGGTTCTGGCTGTCTCTCCTTTGTTTTTTTTTTTTTTTTTTTTTTTTTTTTTTTTTTTTTTTTTTGCGCTTTTAGCCCGGAGACCGTATAGCAAAAGGCTCTGTAGAAACACACGAATTTATTTTACAATGATCCACAGAAGCATCCTATGTACATGTACCTGATGTGGCTGTTGTCCCTCCACCGCTCACTGGACCGAACCTCACATCGGGGTCAGCGCTTATTCGCCAAGTCATCTTTCGGAAAAATTGTTATTGAAAGCGATGCCCCCGCTTGCACGTCTTCCCCCACCGCTTAATGTGATGAACGGGGAAGAATTAGATGGAATGAGAAATGATAATCTTAGTGTGGCCACAGGGAAATCATACTGGATGTCGATTTGCTGTAGTCCAGCGAGCAGAAGACAATTTTGCTAGACTTTGAAACGTTTTCCCTCCTCTGAAGAGAATTGATTGCCTTCAGCGAATGAGACATCCACTCCAGGTTTTCGCGATGATGATCGATTTTACAAGTTGTATACGTGCGTGGATGGAAAGTGAAGAGAAGACTCCATTGAGCGGCCTGTTGCTGCAAGAAGCGGCGGCTAAACAATACTAGAATTAATAGAGCAACAATACATGGAGGTTTTATATAATATATTTCTTCCAGATTGACAGTGCTACTCCGGCTGCAAAAGGCACTTCTGGCGAGAAGAAAATGGAGCGTGGTGAAAATGGGGACTATGAAGGGTTTCCAAATCAGAAATACAGCAGACGGGAATCTCCAAATCAGTAAAGAGAGAAAGAGAAGCTATGCAGGTGTAAAAGTTGAAGTGCCGTACAAAACACAAAATCATTAGAGAGCCAATCGTTGAAAATCGCCAGTTAAAAATGGGGTCCAAAAGACTTTCTAAAATGCAGATAAAACATTATTCTGTAAAACAAGCACGAGATGATATAAGAAGCGAAATCCAATCCAATCTAAAACAATGGGAAAAAGGGGAACCTGATATTCAAGATAAATAAAACGATCAAAATGAGACACGACACGCCCGCATAATTCTAACACAAGCGGAAATCTCACGAAGTGAAACAACCCTGGAAAATCCAAAAGCAAGACTCCGGAAAAACAGGAACAATAAGATCTAATCCAACGCCTCGACGCCCAACGCCGAACTCGAACTCGAACTCGAACTCCTAACTCCCGCCTCCGAGGAGATCCTCTCCAGACATCCACGTTCACCTCCGGCTGCTCCTCTTCGACACATTCGTGGACACCTGACTAACACTATCACTCGGCCGCACCGGCTCATCAAACTTACTCGACCTCTTCGACGACCGCCCGCTGGACCGCGATCTCGTTGATCGCCGCGAAGTCGACGCCCGACTCCCCGCCACAAGAGTCACTTGGGCATCTACATTGACAACGTCAAGGAATATCGTGCTGGCGCCCGCGACGGAGTCCGGGAGCGGCATGTTGCGGGGTGAGTTTGCGCAACTGCCGTACGTGTGCGCGTGTGGATGTTTGCTGCTTGAGTGGCTGCGGGTCGGGGATGTGGAGGAGTCTTTGGGTGGGGAACTGCTGCTGCTGTGGCTGCTGTGGTGGTCTTTGTGGTGGTGGCGGCGACTGGAGGTGGAGATGGTGGTGATTGAGCCGGAGGGTAGGGGGATGTTGCGGGCGGAGTGGGTGGATGAGAAGAAAGATGCGGTTGGCGTGGAGGATTTGGAAGATGTGTGGATGTCCTTAACGGTTATGACGGAGCGGGAGGGGTGGGAGTGGTTGGAGTGATGGGAGTGATTGGAATGGAGGGAGTGGGTTTTGGAGGATGGTTTCAAGGTTGAGGAGCTGTATGTGGTGCTACCGTTGTTATTACAGTGACGGGAACGCTCTTTGAAGCTGCTGATGAGCGTGCTTGGTTGGTGGTGAGTGTATGCGTAGGAGCATTCGGAGCCTTCTCCGATGGCAAGGGCTTCGATGGCGCGGACGGGAACGTCCATTTCTTGCATGCTGCCGTACACACTCGCGCTGGATGCGCGGCGACCTGTTTCGAATTCAAACTGAGAATCCCCTCGCACACTTTGGGCTTGGCCCCAGATGCGCGTGCAATTATCTAGGCCTTCCATGATAGTACTTGCTCGTGGGTTCTTAGATAGCATCGTTCGAACATATTCAGCGTATTCGTTTTCATGACTGCCAACGGTCATACTTCGGGCAGGTCCTGCTTCAATTGCTCTGTAAAGTGTTAGTTCTGGCGCTGGTGCAAAGGCAGGGTCAGGGGTTGCTCAACATACTGGGGTTGTGATGGTGCTGGTTCCAAGGTCTCATTCTTGAAAATAGAATATGCGATTGCTGCTCCAGCTGCAGCTCCTAGAAGAGTCCCGACGACGGTTTTAGCGCTATTTGTCGAATCCTTTGGCAGAGCTGTAGGTTGTGGTTGAAGCTGGATTGAGGCCGGTCCTTTGGTTTGGGGGGATGCGCTTGCGGCTGTGGGTTTGGAAACGGAGGTCTTTGCTTTGCTAAAATAGGTTCCAATCTCTGACTTTTGGCGCATAACACTCTCAGTCTTCACAGACGAGGCCATGGAGACCTCAGATCCATTTTTGATAATCGTCAATGCCCTATCGCCAGACGGCTTCCCTGACCCTGAAATACTGGGACGGTGGACAGCCTCAATGCTGTTCCCATCGAAATCAATCACTGCAGCGCTATAATAGCTCTGCTCTGCGTCACGTAGGGTCGGCTCTCCATGAATCTTCCCACCGGCTTTGAGCGCAGCAATGAAAAATTGGCCAACGGCATCTCGAGATGGTGCGGGGAAGGCAACGTGGGCAGCTCCAGCAGGGACCCTATATGTATATTGTATCAGAGAGGGGGCGGTCAACGTTTAGCAGTGATTGAAGTAATTCCTACCCTGGTCTCTCTTCTGCGATCCAAAAGTCTGCAGGTTCTCCAGGTACCGAACCAAAGCCAACGTTATTATCGTGGCGACCGATAAACCGGTATCCAAGTGGCTGCAGACAAGAGAGGAAAAAGGAGGTGGACGTCGGAAGATGTGAGACGGTGAGTGTCAGATGTGAGACAGGCATGGTGATCGAGGTATCGTGTGAGGTCGATCGAAGAGAGCCAAAGTAAAACCAAGTCTTAGAAAAAATATACGGTGAAATATCTGGAGAGAATAGTTAGGGAGAAGGATAGCTTTTGGGCATCGATCAGGTCCTCACGAGGTATATATTATAAGAGAGCAAGGGCCGGAAGATGAGATAACAAAAACCAGAACACAGGGATAATTTGTACAGTGAACATCCAAATACGAAAACAGAGGTAAGAATTATCTATAAAACAAGTTATAGAATATGCTTGAGAGAAAATGGAAGCGGATGATAAAGTATTTAACCGTAGACAGAACTGAAAAAAACACAAGAAAGTTAGTCATGAAGCCCGCCTGCCGCGTTAGCTTTGCCTGCATCGTCACGGAAAGTGACCAACTGAACTGCAGATCCAGGGTAGAACAACTTGTTCCTGGGTCCACGGGGCATAGCATCAGGAGGGCCAGGAGGGAGAAAAAGAGGGCTTTTCTTCTTCTGCCCCGTTATGTCCAACATCATTGGCATCAACGTCGTCACCAAGCTTGCAGACGGACAAGGGCAACCCGGACAAAGGATACTACAACATTAG